GGGGGGTTAGGGGCAAGGGTGTCAACGTCTATATAAACCTTCGACACCCTTGAAGAAAAAAAACATGTGAATCCCCAATGCACACGATGCCACGCAACATACCCCAACGCCCTGCAAAAAAAAAAAAAAAAACCGTTACACACCATTGCCAAAGAAGGTGAAAACCTGACATTATCAGTTATTTCAATTTTTTCAAGTCACATCAGAGCATGCATTGAGTCATTCATCATTTACAGAGTTCAAGCAAGCAATGTCGGTCGTACAATGGAAGACATAAATGAGTATGGAGTCGCTCGCAAAGACAATGTTGTGAAGACCAAATGTCGGAATAAAAAGCATGGTCATCCAAAAGCGACACCTGGAAGGTGAGGTAAAAAACTTGAAACAAACCTCTCTCTCTCTCTCTCTCTCTCTCTCTCTCTCTCTCTCTCTCTCTCTCTCTCTCGTCATGTGTTGTCCAATGTCTATGGCCTGTATCACCAAAACACTACAGTACACCCTGCCTACCTGCAACTCAATATGTATGCAAAGCAGTGCATCTAACTGAAAATAAAAAGTTGTAATTACAAGAAGGAAAACCGCCACATATAAAATACAGACTAAAACAAAGTCGAGAATATACAAACCACTAATCGTCGTCGTCAACGACATCCACCCTCGTCATCGTCCTCGTCCGGGGATCAACTACACCATCACCCACACGCCTTGTCTGGTCGGACGCTGCATGAGTGGCCCCATGTGCCCGTACAACTCTCTCTCTCTCTCTCTCGTCCACCTCGGCCCTGACCATGTCTCTGAGCAGAATGCCATGGACATCCTCCCTCCTCCGCTGTCCCTTAGTCATCTCCAAATCGTCAGTCCCAGAGGATTGCGGGCCTAAAGAAAAAGCAGCAGGGCGTGGTCTCTTGTCCCTAACATCCTCTTCTAAGATGCGGCCCGCCGTTCCTCTGTCCGGGGGGTGGGTCGGAGGCGATTCCAAAGCCGTCGAAGGGGTCAGCGCACATCCATCCACCCTCGTCCCCGTCCGCTGTGTCAATGCTCTTGTCACGTGGCCGTTGCGGTGTGTCGAAGGACCGGCCCCAGTACTGTCCAAACGCGATCCACCAATCTCGCCCCGACCCCAACCTGCTGTATCCACCACAATGTCCCCCCTTCACGGCAACGGTGAAGGTCTCATAGATGCAGGTAAGGCAGTTAATCCTGGCTGCATGTCTCGCATCGCCTGAGTAACCTTCCTTACATAGCCTAATCCATGAGGCCGGGTCTTCATCCGCGACTGCGGAGAAAGACTGTCTAAACCTGTGCCCTCCGACTATCGTGTCCCTCGTCCTGACGAACGACTCTCTCATCCGCCACGACCACTATCCCACGACCTCGTATTTGCCGCGCATGCGGCCCTGATGCTCTCCATCTGCTCCACAGGATCCCAAGGGGGGGGGGGTGACGCCTGTCATGGAAGAGGGCACAAACGGGCTACACGGTGCATACGGTGGGGGGTCTTCCAAAACTCTCCTGCTGACAGCCTCCTCCTGCATCCACCTCATCCCCTCCACGGATGGTCGACTCTCGCGTCTGACGCTGCATCCGTGTCAAGGGGGCATCATCGTCGGATGGCCGGCCCGACTCTACATCCAAGTCATCGGGATCAGACCATGGCTCCTCCTCAATCTCATCCTGCACGAGAGGGTCAGGATCTGGGTCGTACACAGACTCCTCCTCATGTGGCAGAAGAATAGTCGCTCGCCTGCCAAAGTATCTCTCTATGTTCGCAGGCTGTCGAGTGAGGGAATCCTTCCGCCCCTTCCGCAACTGCATGTGCAACTGCTCCTCAGTAACCTTGTCCGTGGGGCGGACTCCCGAGTCACGGGGCTCCGGTCTCTCCTCCTCCGCGACGACGTCCTCGTCCTCTCATGGGAGGACGTACCCCACACCCCTCGTGTGGCATCGAAGCAATCTCAAATTGGTGGATATCTCCACCAAACGAGTGAGCTTGGTAAAACCAAGCTTGTTTCGCCGCTTCACCTGAACGCGCCCGTGGACAGCCCAATTTCTCTCCGCAGGAGAGGCACATGTCCACGTGTGCATCAGGCGAACAGCGATACTCTGCAACAAAGGAACGTCGTCCCCCCACTGCACCCACCACTGAGCAACCGTCGATGTCTCCTTCTCCCCCCTGCAAGTCTCCGCATCTCGATCCCCGTCGCGACCGCCATATGCACAATCGCCCTCTCGGTTGTGGAACTCCCTCAAAGTTGTCCTCAAATCCTGATACAGCTGCCTGTCCGATCCCGCCTGTTGTCGAATGTAAATGTCTGCCTCCTCTGCCAACTCCCTTTGCTGATCTGTCCTCCGCGCCCCCTCAAAGTAAGCAATACTCCTGTGGCACGGGTTAAGGAGGTGGGCCATGCAATGAGCAGGCTCCAACATATGCCTCCTCCGCGCCTGCAAAGCTCTAACAAGGGCGTCCAGCTCTGCACGACTGGTGTGTCGGGTGGGCGCCTGAGCAACCCTCTGGATTACCCTCTCCGACCATGACCACAAGCGTGACATCACGCGCCCCCCACGGTCGAGTCTGCGCAGCAACTGCATCACAGTACTATTGGTTAACGAGTGCACTCTACACATTGGTATGAAGTTTGCTTGAAATGGCCTTATGGTTTTCTTATAAATTGAGGTAAAAATTGGGGGATCGGTTAACCATCTCTCCATCACAGGTGTCGTCAACTCCACAATGTCCTCGACGTCATCCCAAAACGCAGCGAATCTGACCTGCTGCCGCACCCACTGCGACTGAAGCCACAAGCTCCACCTCCACGGCTGTCGCAACCACTCGTCGCTAATCATCATATCCTTAAGCATGTGACATTGCTCCAACAACCGCTCTAACATTAGGTACTGCGTGGTGAATCTGGTCTGCACTGGGTAAAATGAGCTCCCGACCTCGACCGGAGGTGCCGCTCAAAGCCGACGACGGCGCTGTCTGCCCTTTGGTCGGGTGACGCGCGGAGAATCGCCGGAAAAGGGTGAGGGCGGCCCCGTGTGACCGAATGAATCTCACGACCGCCCTCGCTTTGATGATCGTGTCCTCCGTGTGTCCAACGCCACCATCTCGCCCGTCCTTGTCAATGTCTGACAACATCAGGTTGCGGACATGCACCGCACACGGAGGCCAAGTGATGCAACTGTATTGAAGATCCTTGTCCTGCGCAAGGAACTTGGCAGCCGCGACGTATGTCCCCGTAGAGTCCGTACAAATCGCATTGACATTTTCGATGCCGAAGTCATCGAGCACCTTCTTCCACCGCCTCAGAACCACACTTGCCGTGTCCTGCTCAGCCCCGTCCCTCTGCACTGTCCTCAACAGGTACGCCCCTGAAGATCCAACTGCCAAAAAGTTGACGATCTGATAAGCAGTGATGGATTTGCGACCGTCCGTGAGGATGGTCGTTCCTGTCACCACCACATCTCTCCTGAGCGTCGCCAGCATCTCCGCAACATCCTTGTCCTGCTTGACAATACCATCGCCAGAGATGCGGCGATAGTTGGGCAGAGACGGATGAACCCGAGGGGGACATGTCGCGAGGTGCCTCCTGAACGTGTTGTACTCCGGCCTCCTTGCCGCGTGGAATGGGATGCCGCAGGCATAGAACCATTGCAAGAAATACGCGTCCCTGTCTCGCTGCCATTTAGGATCGAACGACTCTTCCATGCGCGATTGGCGAAGCTTCTTCGTGGTTGCTGTCGCTGGCAGGGGCTGCGAAGAAGTCTTCCTCTTCCTTGACGTCCCAACGCCAGTGACCGCTCTCTTCTCTGCCCTCAACTCCCCGCAGTCACGCTCCGCCTCCCTCTCAACATCGATGGGAACCTCCGCAGACTTGTCGTCACCACCCCGCGAAACATCCCGAGCACCTCCACTCTCAGGCGCCTCACACGCCCCTCCACCCTGTTCGTCGTCTTCCTGCGCCACTCGCTCTGGGTTATCTTCGTCCTCCTCTCCTGAGTCTCCCTGTTGTTGACCGAGTTGTCGTCCCTTGTCTGCAAACCCCCTCTCCACAAGGTACGCCTGTATCTTCTTCATGTGGCTCTCATCAAAGTGGTAAGCACGTTTGTTCCAGATCTCAGCCAAAACGTCCAACGACGCTTGCAGGAAGTTGTTCTTTATGGTGTAGTGCAACGCCCACTTGCTCTAACTGCCCACAAATTCCTGGTCGCACAGCTTGCACTTCATGACGAAGTTGCCATTCCGACGCGGCAGCGTCTGCCCCTTGAGCATCCACTTGTCTCTGCCGGTCTCTGTTCACAGGGATGAACTCTCCGTACGTCCCTCGACGCTTCGGCGACATCTTGAACGAGGTGTCGACGGACCCCGTCCACGGCCTGAACTGCATTTGTGGCAGCCCTTGCTCAGCGGTCGTGCCTCGTAGCGTGTTGCAGCCCCACCCAGGCACGCGCACGGGGCCCCTGCAGGCCTGGGCCCAGACTCGGTGCACACGCGCACGGCGCGGCCCTCCCCGGCCCAACCGCCGTTTAGGCGTACGCACGAACGAACGGGCCGTACGGGCGTTCGTACGCTCCGTACGCCTAAATGAACGGGCCTCTCTCTCTCTCTCTGTATACATATATATATATATATATATATATATATATATATATATATATATATATATCGTCACAAACAGAACTGCCCGGTAAACCGTAGGCAGAGAGAGAGAAAAGGACAACAAACGAGGGGCTGTGAC